GAGGTGCGCTGCCACGGAGCAAGGCAAATGCTGTCATTACTGCTGCCGTTGCCAGCCAGACCCAGCCTCAGCAAAGGTGCAAAAGAACCCGTAATAAACCAGGGGTGAAATATTCTATGGCTAGCTTCAAATGCTGGTGCGAAATACTGTTCTGTAGAGCCGTTTCTCACTTTCTCATTGCCGTTTCTCACTTTCTCATTGCCGTTTCATGCTGTTATGCTTCTCAAAATCCGGAGTCTGGTATTTGTACTCAAAGCTCTGGCTGTTTTCTCACTACATACAAAACTTCACTACCCAAATCTTTTCTTAAGCTTATCAGAATATTAAGCATGTGCTTAGGAAAGACTCCTGGTTATCTCCATGGTTTTAGGACAAATAATTAGAAACATTTAGGTCTCTAAAGTCAGCAGTTTGTCTCTAATGATGGGGACAGTTGCCATCTGTGACACCTACTCCCAACAGGTCGAGGAACAGTTTGCAGGAGCAGCCACAGTGCTGACTACATCAATTGTGTGTGAAATGGTGCTCTCTATAGGGTGCTGGGCAGACACCCGCTTTCCAGCTGCAGTGGGTCAGAACAGCTTCTAATGGGAGCCTTTAACCAAAACAAATCCAGTTGCACTGGCTAGGGAAACCACACCGTAGCCTGTGTCCCCTGACTTGATTCTCAGGGAAACTGCTCCTTCAGGTGCCTTTGTGCAAAATGTAGTAACAGCAACATTTAGAAAACCCCTGCTCAACTGCCTCCCTATTGTCTGGACAACTCCATGGTCCAGCAGAAGAGCTCCCCTCCAGTCTACTCACAGTTCCCTGACTGAGAACATGATAAAACCAGAATTTACTGGGCCTGCAAGCATAAAGAAGGGTAGAGGGGATTTCCCCCCTGTGAACCAATTATCTCAATGTTTAGAGCATTTGCTTGGGATCAGGGTGTAAAGAGTCTCATCCTTGTGTATCTGATCTATTCCAAAGTGAGGCTTTCCTGGCGGTCCCTGGGTGCTCTGTAGGCAGCACTTGAAAACTCACTGACCCGGACAGAGAGTGACTCAGTCACCTTGTGAGATGCTTCTATCCTCACTCCAATGAATGTTCGATATCTTTTCAGTATTTCCTATTGCTTGGTTCGTGCAGCACTCCCCTCGTGTCACTGGGGGGGGGTTCAGGCTTAGGTCCCTAGTTCCTGGGCATGCCTTTTTCTAGAGAGCTTAAGCACCTGCCTCAAGGTTGTGAATTCCAGTTAAGCTGAGACAGCCAAGGTCTAGCTGTCAACTGTTAAACTGCATTGCTTAAGTCTCTCATGCACACGTAATGCCAGCAGAACATCAGGTGGTTCAGGGTCCCAGCTACAATCATTCAGACTTCTCCCATGGCCTGCAGCTGATCCAAAGCTTCCAGCTACCTAACAAAGATCAAGTTCTTCCTAAGTCCCACCTGAATCTGTACTGTAAATAGATGAGAACATATTCCTGTTGTATCATTCCCTTGAACTTGGTTATAGCTGTAGCCTTATAGCAGAAGGCAGGGAGGAAGACTTCCTCCTCAATTTATACATCCCTCAGACTGCTGTAAGTTTGTCCTGGCAATAACCAGAGGTCTCATATCTCATTTTTTATGTTCCCATTTTTAAATTTCTTAGTATGGTCTTTACAGTGGGGATGCATTCCCTCTCTGTATATATCTCCTATGATGGGAGTGTTGGAATGGAAGGATACAGGCTCTTTAGGAAGGACAGGCAGGGGAGACGAGGAGGGGGTGTCGCCCTCTATGTCAATGACCAGCTGGAGTGCGTGGAGCTCTGC